TTAGGGTTTAGGGTTTAGGGTTTAGGGTTTGGAAGGGGCACGCACACATCAGAACTACTTGCTACATTCTGGAAGGCTGTAAACTGGCGGCTTTAAACTGCGGCAGCCGCCGCCAAACCCTAAACCCTAAATCGTGGTTTGCGTGGGGCTGCTAGGGTTTGCTGCGGCCCCACCCTTGGCGGCTGCAGCTGCTGCTGCTGCTGCTGCTGTCTTCAGCACCTTTTTAGCGGAAAAGGGAAAATGGAAAATTAAAATAATAAAGTCAAACATTAAAGACCAAATAAAACTGCAGCAGCAGCAGCAGCAGCAGCAGCCGCCGCCGCCGCCTCAGCAGCAGCAGCAGCAGCAGCAGCAGCAGCAGCAGCAAAGCATCAGCAGCAGCAGCTGGTGTTGTAAGAGTCGGAATTCGTTTTTACTTTGTTGCTTTTGTGGGGGCGTGTCTGGGGCGTTTGTTTTCGTTCTTGCGGAAGCCTAAACCCCAAACCCCAAACCCTAAACCCTAAACCCTAAACCCTAAAAAGCGGTTTGGGATGTCTGCTGCTGCTGCGCTGCGAGGCCTCGTTTGCTTCTGCGCCCGCAGCATCGCAGCTCTTTGGGTGGCTCAAGTGCTGCCGTTTGCTGCTGGGCAGCAGCTGGGCTGCGGCTTGCGCAGCAGCTCTGCTGCTGCTGCTGCTGCTGCTGCAGCAGCTGCTGCTGTTGCCAGCAGCCTCTCGGCCAGCACTCGGCTAGCTGCTGTCGGCAAGGCGGTGCTGCAGCAGCACCAGAGCCTCTACGACTACCTCGATCAGGTGCTAGAGGAGCAAACCACGATTTAGGGTTTAGGGTTTAGGGTTTGGGGCCTGCGAGATGGGGCCTGCAAGCGCGCCCAAAGTGCGGAGCCCCTGCGGGCGCCTTCTGGGGTTGCTGCTGCTGCTGCAGCTGCTGCTGCTGCTGCTCTCAGCTGGAGCAGCAGAAACTGCAGCGCAGCAGCGAAGGCAGCAACAGAAAGAGCAGCCGCAAAGGCGGCAGCAGCAGCAGCAGCAGCAGCAGCGGCAGCAGCAGCAACGGCCGCAACAGCAGCAGCAGAAATCAGCCAGCAGCAACAAAAATAAAGCAGCGAGACCTCTGCAGATCGTGATGCCCAATGAACTACACACCGGTAATCTCCAAATTAGGGTTTAGGGTTTAGGGTTTAGGGTTTAGGGTTTAGGGTTTAGGGTTGACAGGAGACGGGCTCTAACATGTGTCTCCTAGAGTTTGGCAAGTGAAGCACCGAGGGCTTACAGTTAGGGGTCTAGGGTTTAGGGTTTGGGGCTACGGGGCTAGGGTTTTAGGGTTTAGGGTTTAGGGTTTAGGGTTTAGGGTTTAGGGTTTAGGGTTTGCGCTTAGGGTTTGTGATCAACGAGGAGGCTCTGGCGGAGCTGGAGGAAATTCCAGGACCCATTGCTGTGATCGCCGCTATGGGTGAGGCCCGAGGGTTTAGGGTTTAGGGTTTAGGGTTTAGGGTTTAGGGTTTAGGGTTTAGGGTTTAGGGTTTATAGCTGCCAGCAGAGGGCCCCTGCGAATTCGGAGTTTGTGGCTGCTGCAGTTTATCTGCTTCTTTAAACTGTTGAGGGTTTAGGGTTTAGGGTTTAGGGTTTAGGGTTTGCGTTTTGCAGGTCCGATTCACTCTGGAAAGAGTTTTTTGCTGAACAGTTTGCTGAAGACAAGCCCAGCAGCAGCAGACGGCAGCAGCAGCAGCAGCAGCAGCAGCAGCAGCAGCAGCAGCGAGGGTTTAGGGTTTCCCGTGGGCTACACTGTGGCCCCCGGCTCTTTGGGCCTTTCCATTTATTCCAAACCCTTATTTGTGGACAGGCGCACGGGAGAGCTGCTGTCGGAGTCTGCTGCTGCTGCTGCCGAAGCAGCAGCAGCAGCAGCAGCAGCAGCAGCAGCAGCAGCAGCAGCAGCAGCGGGTGGCAGCGGCTCTGGCACGAGCGCGTCTGCGGGCTCCGCGCGCACTGCAGCAGCAGCAGCAGCAGCAGCAGCAGCAGCAGCAGCAGCAGCAGCAGCAGCAGCAGCAGAGGCCCCCGTGGTGCGCGTGCTGCTGCTGGACAGCGAGGGTTTTGGGGGCCCCAATGTGACCCGCAGCTACGATTTGCTGCTGTACTCCATCGGGTCTTTTTTGGCTTCTCACGTTCTCTTCACAACAATGAAAATGATCGACGCGCAGGCAAACCCTAAACCCTAAACCCTAAACCCTAAACCCTCGGCCTGGCGCTGGCCAGCGGGGCCCGCGACGCGCGGCCGCCACAGGCCCCCAGAGCCTCCCTAGCAAACCCTAAACCCTAAACCCTAAACCCTAGGGCGCCCGACGAGGAATTCGGGGCGGCTCGCTGCGCACCAAGGGTTTAGGGTTTAGGGTTTAGGGTTTAGGGTTTAGGGTTTAGGGTTTGAGTGCAGGACCTGCAACTGCTGGAGGACTTGACCAAAGACGCAAACCTCTTCGCCTTGAGGACTCACGCCAGGGCTCTTCAGGAGGGTTCCCAGCAGCAGCAGCAGCAGCAGCAGCGGCAGCAGCAGCAGCAGCAGCAGCAGCAGCAGCAGCAGCAAGCAGCAGCGGAGAGCTCCTCCGCGCTGCTGTCGCTCCTCAGCCCCTGCTGCCTTTCCTGGGTCGTCCAGGACTTTGTTCAGGTACGAACTCTAGCTAGCTAGCTAGCTAGCTAGTCGGCTAGCTAGCTAGCTAGCTAGCTAGCTAGCTAGCCAGCTAGCTGGCCAGCTGCCTTGCTGCCTGTCTGGCTAGCTGGCTAGCTGGCTAGCTAGCATTCTAGCCAGCCAGTCACGTTTTCAGCCGCGTAGCTAGCTAGCCGCCTCTCTAACTGGCTAGCTAGCTGTGCTTCCAGCTAGCTAGCTAGCCAGCTAGCTAGCTAGCCAGCTAGCTAGATAGCCAGCTAGCTAGCTAGCCAGCTAGCTAGCTAGGTAGCTAGCTGTCCTTCCAGCTAGCAAGCTATCCAGCCAGCTGGCAAGCCAGCAGCTGCCACCAGCTAGCTAGCCAGCAGCTAGCTAGCCACCGGCTAGCTAGCCAGCAGCTAGCTAGCTAGCCAGATCGCTAGCAAGCCAGCAGCTAGCCACCAGCTAGCCAGCCAGCCAGCTAGCCAGGCAGCTAGCTAGCTAGCAATCCAGCAGCTAGCCACCAGCTAGCTAGCCACCAGCTAGCCAGCTAGCCAGCTAGCCAGCTAGCTAGCCAGCTAGCTAGCTAGCTAGCCAGCAGCTAGCCACCAGCTAGCTAGCCACCAGCTAGCTAGCCACCAGCTAGCTAGCCACCAGCTAGCTAGCCACCAGCTAGCCAGCTAGCCAGCCAGCTAGCCAGCCAGCTAGCCAGCTAGCCAGCTAGCTAGCTAGCTAGCTAGCTAGCTGTTGTGCGCGCAGGACTTGGAGGGTTTGAGTGCGCAGCAGTGGCTGGAAAATTTGCTGCTGACAAATCGGTGGCTGACGCCGCCCGAGGCTGTGGAGGCCAAAGAGCGCGAGGCGCAAAACAAACACTCGCTGCGGTGAGGGTTTAGGGTTTAGGGTTTAGGGTTTAGGGTTTAGGGTTTAGGGTTTAGGGGTGGGGTTGGGGGCTGGGGCTTGGGTTTGGGGTTTGGCGGCGGGAGGGGTTGGACGGGCGAGGGGGATTTAGCGGCTAGGGTTTAGGGTTTAGGGTTTAGGGTTTAGGGTTTAGGGTTTAGGGTTTAGGGTTTGTTGCAGGTCGTTGTATTCGAGCGTGGACTGTTTCGCGCTGCGGGCCCCCACGGAAAAGGGTTCGCTGCTGCAGCGTTTGGATTTGCTGCTGCCAGCAGATGAAGACCCTTCTTATGCTGCTGCTGCTGCTGCTTTCAAGCAGCAGCTGTTTGCTGCTGCTGCTGCTAACCCGAAGCGCAAGCTTGCTGCGGGGCAGCCGATGCTCTCGCTGCACCAGCAGCAGCCGCTGCAGCAGCTGCAGCAGCAGCAGCAGCAGCAGCAGCAGCAGCAGCAGCAGCAGCAGGTTTTTATGTCGGGCAGGGACCTTGCGGAGCTCACGCGCTTTCTTGTTGCTGCAGCAAATGCAAATATGTTTGGAGACGTCCAGGTCTTTATGAACCACTTCTCCACCGTCAGAGTGAGGGTTTAGGGTTTAGGGTTTAGGGTTTAGGGTTTAGGGTTTGGGGTTTAGGGTTTGGGGTTTCGGGTTTATTTTTGAGGTTTAAGGCCTTATGCTCGTTTCGTCTTCCTTGACTTTCGCTCCCTCGCCCTCAGCTCTTGCAGCTTTGAGGGTTTAGGGTTTAGGGTTTAGGGTTTAGGGTTTAGGGTTTAGGGTTTAGGGTTTGTGGCGCAGAGCGCGATGGCGAAGAACGACTTGCTGCTGCTGTTCACGCGGGACTTGAGTCGGCTGCTGCAGCGGGAGCTGCCGCTGCTGCCAGACGAAGTTGCTGCTGCTGCTGCTGCTCTCCGCAGCAAAACTTTGCTGCTGTGGCAGCAGCAGGCTGGGGCTGAGGTGTCTGTACACCGCGCGGAACTCAACAAGCAGCAGGACCAGCTCTTCAGAAAGATGGACGAAATCGTCGACAAGGCTCTCCAAACGTAAACCCTAAACCCTAAACCCTAAACCCTAAACCCTAGCTGGGCCTGCAGCAGCAGCCTGCCTCGGGAGCCGCTTGGCCTTTTTTCTGCCTGCGCTGTGGCCCCTGAGGATTTAGGGTTCAGGGTTTAGGGTTTAGGCCCTGAGCTTACCCCCAGGGGCCGGCGCCTAGGGTTTAGGGTTTAGGGTTTAGGGTTTAGGGTTTAGGGTTTAGGGTTTTGCTGCAGGGCGAACAAGCTGGTGGGCTCTTTCTGCCGAACTGCTGCTGAGGCGCAGCTGTCTGTACAGCGCGAAGCAGCAGAGCAGCAGCTGCGGCAGCTGCCGGTGGCTCCCAAAGAGCTCACGGAGTATTCCAATTACCATCAGCAGTTAGTTGCTGCTGCTGCTGCTGCTGCTGCTGCTGCTGCTGCTGCTGCTGCTGCGGCTCGTGGGGATGGGGGGTGGGGGG